ACTATGGTACCATATGAAACACTGATTATTTCCAAACAAAATGTGGTCATTATTGTGATGTAATAAGTTACCTTAGCAACAGGAAAGCCCAGCGAAAACACCCTATATTTTGGCTTTAGTTGCTCATATCTCAAAAACTAACTTGGGCACCACTTTATTATTGCTGAAAAGTAACCATAAGGCCAAGATACTACAGTATGTACTACAGCATCATAGCCACCTTTAAAAAATCGCAGAATTGAGGTGGCTCTGAATCCACTGTACAGATTTTTTTTAAACTTTTCAGGAAGTTTCATCTTGCCCTTCTGATTACTTTCCAGAAATAAATAAATGGGGGATCACCGAGTTTTTGAGATATGAGCACCTAAATACAAAGTAAAGGGTGTTTTTACAGGGCTTGCCCATTGCCACGGTGACATATTACATCACAATAATGACTGCATCTTGTTCAGCAATAATTGGTGGGGGAGGGGTACCGTGATATTGCTAATATGTGATACAGTGTTCTAGTGCTGATCCTTCTAATAAGAGCATTACTTGGAAGCGTTGAAGCTGGCTTGAGCCACCTTTTGTACAATATAAGAATTTAAAATTTGTATAACCGTTATTTCTAAAGAATTATATTAGGCATATGAAACATAAAGTCCTAGGTAAAAAGAGATTCATGATGTGTTTATTGTTGCTGTGTGTTTAATACTTTTGATCAGTTGGGGGCATTTAATTTAGATGGCTTTTTGGCTTACTGTTTTTCTGTGCCTTTTCACTGGGTGTTCTTTTTGCAGAGCCTTCTTTTTCTGGGTCCTTCAGTGATAACAAACATTACATGATCCCGAAAGTAAAGGTAACTGCATGTTTTTAGAGGTCATTCCATGTAATTTTGAGGCTATTAATACAGTACAGTGCACTGTGCAAAGCAGCAGTTTGTTCATCTCGAGTGGCCAAGAATACAGCTTCTAAGGCCCTTTCCTATTGTACCAGCACAACTTTGGCATAACTTGTGCCATTTTGCTAAAAGTAAAATAATGGGAGTGGGTTTGAGACAACGTTATTAGAGTCGTGACTTGGTTGATTTATTTACCTAGTAGTGTTCTGTCAAACATCAGTCTGTCTGGGAAGTCAGGACAGCTTAGTGGTTTTCAACCATGCCTTCCACCTCTGTGACCCAGGTTCAACCCTTGACCCCAAAGTCATATGTGGGCTGAGTTTCTGTTGATCTCAATCTTGCTTAAAATTTCAGTGTGTAAATGCAACTTATTACCTATGCAAAACACAACTTTAAAAGTCTGAAAGCCTGTAACTCCTGTGCTGCTTATTTATTATATTCATCTGTGCACACATGCCTTGCATTCTTAAACTGGTGAGTCTTTGACATCATTAATTTTTTCTCGTCGACCCAGCTCTCTCAAGATTTTAAAGTTAGTAATGGTGGACGTGATCATATAAGAAATTTCCAGTTAAAATAAACAGGCTTCTTTTTTAAAGTAAGGCTTAAAACTTGGGTAACTTAGTGTTTTAGTTCCCATAGTTTTGATATCCAAAGAAAAAGAAGAGTTGGTTTTTTTGGTCAAAGTAAGCACTTTGAGATTGCTATTTCTGTCAGTTATCTTTAACTGCTGGTCTAACATTTATTTTGTTGAATGCCCTGTGGCTTAGGACTGAGCAGCTGTGACACAAAGATTACAAAGTCGACGAGATGAAAGGATTCCTGAGCATTGGGAAACACTTTTGCGACTGAAAAACGTGAACATTGGTCTCAACTGTGCTATGTACTCCAAATCACGTTATCGATTCATGGAAATCGTAAGTTTTAACAAAAATGCTGTTATCATGTTAGCCTTTAAGCGTTGCACAATGATTTAAATTTAAGGTTGGGGTCCTTCCTTGTGAAAGGACAAAAATGTTTGAACTGCAGAAAGAAGAATGTTAAGATATGGATGATATTACACGGTGGCGAGAAGATTTGAATTTTAATGTTCTCGTGGCAAGAACAAAAAATTCATATCTTGAGCTAATTTGTAATTTTCTTTCATTATATGGTCAGTGAATGTACATGGTAGAGATTAAAAAGCAGGCTTTAACACAAGTACTGGGTACTGATACAAACTAAAAAAGCCAGGAATCGTGATATCGTTGCTAAATGTGACAACCCGTGTTACATGTACATACTCAGGCAAAAAATATGCCACTTGGTTCCTGGATGTAGTAGCCATATTGATTCTTTGAGTGTTTTAGTTCCCGGTAAAACGCTCTCATCCATATAATAAAGTAGATTATCAGAGGTATGAACAGTAACGAAAGGAAAACCCGAACATATAGGCTCGAATGGGATTTGAACCTATGACCTCTGCGATGACAGTGCAGTGAACTAACTACCAATTGTGCTACCAGCAGACTAGGAGGTGGTCATTTCACTGCTACAGTACTTATGCACCTATCAATGTAAATCCCGCAGGGGTGGGGAGTGCGGGCAATAGGCGGGAATTTGGTGCCTGAGACTATCCCCCCTGTCGGGCTTTTGATTGCGAAGCGACCCCGGGGACAGTTACCAAGTCTGTCCCTAAGTCACGCTTCAGTTGGAAAAAGGTAAGAAGTTTTGCCATAATCCGTAATTTATACTGTCCTCTAAGCAGGTATTGTCTATTTTGAGAAATTTTTTATCCTTAAGTTCCCATCTGATTGAAGTCGAATTCCACCACAAGGTCAGAGTATTTACGGGCTACTGATCCGACCTGTTTCGACATGCTGAACGTATAAATCATGAACATACCCTGTTTCAAATGCTGCTTTATTTGTTTTATATATTATTATAGTATTGTTTGTTCAGATTCTTTGCCCCAGGCTGGGCCTTTTTTTGACACTTTTGATTGATGTTAGTTCCTACCCTGGGGAATTGATTAGAAATTTAAGACTTGTCAAATCCCTACCCCTTGCCCACACTCCCCCAAACGGGATTTACATTGATAGGTGCATTAACGCACGGTGGGAGTCAATGGGTTATAACCCATTGACTCCCAGGGGTTCCCCATTGACGAGTAACATCGTCAATGGGGAACACTAAGCACTGGTCTGGTGTGGACATTAAAGGGTTAATTGCGGTATCGAGTTCTTTCTTAGTGGATGCAATAATCAAATATTAAAGGTGGCAAAACGCTATCCACCAGCCAGGAAAACCAAAGATACATGCGGCTACATGTAAGTGAAAGTGCACTATATTTTCCAAAATGAGAAATTTGTAAACTACAGTTGTTTCCAGGAAATAAAATTTATTTGTAAATTAATGTATTGACCACTCACAGGACCTCTTTTTGTACACAATTCCTCTTTCCTCAGTGTATATATATGTCCTTCATATATAGTCTTCATGCTCACTCCTTTACTGTTTTTTTTTTCCACACTCACTAAGTGACCGGTCATGACCAGCTCCCAGTGGCCGAGCTCCATTGATAGAGCATTTCACCGGTTTCTTAGAGGTTATGGGTTCAATTCTCATTCAGGTCTGAATCTCTCAGGCTTTCCTTTCGAACTGCTAATTAATAAGTAACATTGATAACTGTGATCATCTGATAATCTTGCAATGAAATTGGTCAGATAGTGTCGTTGCCATGTCTGACAAGACTGGGGCATTCAGTGTTGAGGAAAGATATTTCAATCTTTTTTTGCATTTCATGTTTCTGTGGAAATCCAAAGAACTGCATTGTAACATCAGATCTGATCTCTCTAGGTTTCCTAATTGAAAGAGTTCAAACTAAGAACCTGTTCCCCAACCTCTGGTTGGCTGATTTAATCTACGTATTTGCTGTAATTGGCAAACGATTACTTTGAACTTAGTTTTCAATACTTTGTTTCGCGTAAACAAATCGCAGTTTATTGTCTTCTTAGGTTTCACCAAACACACCGTTTGGAAATCTGAAGGATTATGTGCTAGATGGACGTTGCCATAGTTATGTCATGATTAAGATTTTATCACAACTAGCATCTGCGCAAACTTATCTCCATGAAAACTACATCGTGCACGGTGACTTTCGGACTGAACATGTGAATGTGTTAGGGCCTTGTCAGGTATGTGAGAAACAGTTAAAGTACTACTTCAAAAAGAAGAAGAAAAAAGTATTTATTTACTCTCAGAATTTGGGATAATTGCTGTAAATTACTAATGCTAAACACATTAAACATAAAATGGACAGTTAAAAAGCAAGTTAGATATTTAAGAGCATGAATCCACAACCCCAAAGTTATGGAGTTAGCTAGCCTTCATCCAGTTTAAATCTAAACGAACGAAAAGAGATGAGGAAGGCAACAGGGGGTATTGTATTGATACTGAAATCAGAAGAATTTGAGGTAATTTCCACTTGCAGGCATTGATGAGAAAGAAGATATCGTTTTATGCTTTTGGGAAAAAATGGTTTAATTAAGGGCTTCAAAGTGGCATTGGATATACCCTTCCAAAGATCTGTTGTGATACCTTATTACAGGAAATTAACGCTCCATGAAATTAAGGTATTGGAAATAAACGCAACTTAAATTAACACGAGTTTAATGTAAAACGACTTTCGAATAAAGAAATTTAATGCGAAGGAGTAAGTAGAATTTCACAATTAACGCGATTAAGACACAGTTGGTGGTGACCACTGGAACAAATTTATTCAACACTGGATGCAAAACAAGTCACTGAACAAAACTGATCCCTCTGGTCAACAAACAGTCCTCAAAATTCTAATTAATGCAGGAATTAATGGAAGGAAATAATGCTTGTACCATATTTTATTGTTTTTTAGGTGTTATGAATGTCTGGAAAGGTTTCAAAATTAGGGTTAAAATGATGGAAATTAAGAGTGCTGAAATTAACGCTGCACTTAATTAATGTCGCAAAAATAATGCTGAACATAATTAGTGCAACTTAAATTAATGCAAATTTTAACGATTCGTGTTAATTTTGTAGAGCGTTAATTTCCTATAATAAAGTAAACAGCAAGGGCTAATGATAAGTGACCGGGCATCCATTTCACACAATGGAGAAAGCAATTTAAAGGCAATGCACCTTTCAAGCAAGGCACAAGGAAAGAGTTCATTCTCGGAACCTCCTTCATTATCATTTTTTCATGGTGGTAAATTCTCTTTTGCTTATGTGACCTCAAGTGAGTATGCTATTGTGTTTTTAAAACTTGAGTCTGTTGCTCGATGTCTGTTTGTTGATATCAGCTCTGGACCTTTATGTCCTGTCTCTTCATACTTTTGATTGATCCTTTTCATTTGGATATCTTTTAGGTTCAAGTTGTTTGCCTGGGTCATTCGAAATATTTGAAAGCCGGTGAAGTGAACAGCAGGTCTGGCAAGGTTCAGGATACCATGCCTGCAGATGCAATTCGCTGGTTTGTAAATTACATGTGGATATTAAGAAACTTAGTTCAGTTTAGTTTAAACTTATATAAATTATATTATTGGTGAAAACTCGGCACTCTCAGCACTGAGCCACTCTGTCCACTTCAGAAAATACCACAGTATTCTTTGTGTTCCCCCCAATTTTGCATATTAAGCATTGTTTCCATTTTCTCTTGGGACCATTGTAAATCTCAAGATAAACTGGAAACAATGCTTATGCAAAACTTTGCTCTTCTCTCCAACTGCAACATCTATCGTGTCTCGGAATACAGACAGTTAATGTCACAAATTGTCCCCCAAATGCTGCTCCCCAAGTGAATGTAAACAGCTGCATTTACCCTGAGGTGAGAGTAACGTTAACCTGTATCCTTCTTTATTTTTGGAAATGGGTAGCAAAGGTTTAGGCTAAATGGACGTGTTGGATGTTGAAATTGGGCGTACATCCAATTAGGTGCATTTTTCAACATAATAGTGAACCAGAAGTTATTGGCTGTTGAAACAATGACTTCTTTTGTTTGGCGGGTGGCTTTGAAACAGGAATATCAAAACTGAGAAAGTTTAAGACAACATCGTAAACAGTGAACATCGCTCATAAAAATTTAAAGACGCCTCGTTTCGGGCATCAACTCACTGATGAAAACAAATATGACAGACGAATAAGCTGAAGGGTACAAAGACAATTTCCCGTTTTTCACAGGAGTGCATTTGAAGTGATCACAGAAGGTATTTACAGCTATGCCAGTGATGTGTGGGCATTTGGTGTTGTGTTGTGGGAACTATATGCGGCACTCGCGTTTCGTCGTAAAAGAAGTACATTGGCAAGACCGTACTATGAATTGGAAGATGATCAGGCAAGTTAATACCTTACAAAGTGATGTCTGAATTGTAAGAAGAGAGAAGTGAAAAATACAGGAGAGTTAAAATAACTTCAACTTATAAGCGCAAAGGAGTGGAATTAGATGGTGTATGAAAAGGAAATCATATGAACTTGCTCATGCCTTTCGTGATTTATATATCAGCACTCGTGATGTTAATTTTGAAAGTTCTCAAAATTACAGGTTGTGCAATTTGAGAACTTTCAAAACATCACTAGTGACCATAAATCACGAAATGCACAAGCAAGTTCATACAATTTTTTGTTAGTTATATGCTCCTCAAAATTACTTGATCGCTTTGTTTCCATAGAAACATCCGTATTGCACTCTATAACCTATTTGTGCATTCATCATTGAACAATCATAAACACAATATTCTTTCTGGTATATATTAAAGGGGCTATGTAACGTTATTTTAGGATGTTTAGGGGAAATCTGTAGTTAATTACGAGTTTAAAACTGGTAATGGTAATGTGGAATTCCCTTACTGATCATTTCATCACAAACAACCTTTATCTAGGCGATTTTCCATGAACTTGAAAATCGTTGGGCTGACTTTTTTGACGATTTTCCAAATACAGTCTGTTTCAATCTTCTCCATTTGTGTCCATCCATGCTTCCTGGCCTTTCCTTTTAGTGTGTTTCTTTTATTTTTTTCAACAGTTTTTAGTTTTGGGCATTTTGGGTGCCATGAAATAGCCCACTTCAGAATATACCATAATACTCTTTGTTTGTCCCCCCAAATTTTGCATAAGCATTGTTTTTGTTTTCTCTTGGGACCATTGTAAGTCCCAAGAGAAACTGGGAACAATGCTTATTCAAAATTATTTTAGGGTGACACTGAAAGAGCATTATGATATTTTCCGAAGTGGGCTATTATATCATTTTGCGTAATATTGCCCCTTTAATGAGAAATTTTAAAAAATATCAGAAAATTTAGCAATGATCTTATACATTATATATTTATATACAGACTAATCCCTTCATTAAAATTCATCACCCCTACGTTTCTCAGCTACCAAATTGAGCCTCAATTAAACCTCCAGAAAACTGGATGAGCATTTTATTTAGAATGTATGCAAAGAAAAAAAAAAGACTGTTAACTCATTTACTCCTTAGGCCCCACAGAATGCCCCAGTTGACGAGAAAAATGTGATGATTCTGCATTTTTGGACATCGCATATTTAACAATTATTCGCCGAAGGCGAAGTGATTATCGGTGAATATTCACCGAGACGAAGTCGAG